AGACATAATGCTCACTGATTTCAAATGACACTACAAAGCTACAGTCATCAAAACAGTATAGTACTCGCACAAAAATAGACAGAGGGCAGTGGAACAGAATAGAGAGCCCAGAAATAAACCCACGCTTTGTCAAGTTAATCTTTGACTAAGGAGGCAAGAACATACAATGGGGAGAAGACATTTCTTCTCTTCCATCTCTGTTCCATCTCTTCAATAAACCGTGCTGGGAAACTGGACAGCTACCTGTAAAAGAATGAAACTGGACCACTTTCTTATATCATACACAAAAATAAACTCAAAATGGATTAACGACTTAAATGTACAACCAGAAACCATAAAACTCCTAAAGGAAAACACAGGTAGTCAGCTCTGGGTCATTAGTCTCAGCAATGTTTTTTGGGGTGTGTCTCCTCCAGCCAGGGCAACAAAAACAAAAGAGTTTGACTACATCAAACTAGAAAGCTGCACAGCAAAGGAAACCATCAACAAAATGAAAAAGACACCTACAGGGAGAAGATACTTGCAAATGATGTAACTGATAAGTGGCGAATATGCAACATATATAAAGAACTCGTACAACTCAATACGTAAAAGATACGAACAATCTAATTTAAAAATGGGCAGAGGACCTGAACAGACATTTCTCCAGAGAAGACCTCCCGATGGCCAACAGACACATGAAAAGATGCTCAGCATCACTCATCATCAGCGAAACGCAAATCAGAACCACAACGAGATACCACCTCACACCTGGTTGGAAGGGCCTTCTCAAAAAGAGAAGAAATAGCCAATGTTGGTGAAGACACAGAGAAAAGGAAATCTTCACGTACGGTAGGTGGGAATGCAGACTGGTGCAGCCGCTGTGGATGACCCTGTAGGATGACCATCCTCAAAAAATTGAAAATAGAAAGACCTTACAGTCCAGCAATTCCACTTCTGGGTATTTATCTGAAGAAAACCAACATGTTAATTTGAAAAGATACATGCAACGCTATGTTTATTGCAGCATTATTTACAAGAGCCAAACTATGGAAGCAACCTAAGTGTCCACTGACAGATGAAGGGACAAAGAAGCTGTGGTATATATACCCACTGGAGTCTTAGCCATAAAAAGAAGGGACTCTTGCCATTTGTGATAACATGGATGGACCTAGGGAGCATCATGAAATAAGTCAGAGAAAGGCAAATGCAGTGCGTTTTCACTTACGTTTGAAATCTGAAAACTGAAACAAATGAACAAGGACAACAACAAACCTGAAACAGAAAAAAACTCAGACAGAGAAGCGTCCGGTGGCCGCCAGAGGGGGGAGGAGGTGGGCGAGATGGGGGAAGGGGACTAAAAGGTACAAACTTGAGGTTATAAAATAAATACGACAGGGGTACCACGTGCGGCACGGGGGATCCAGTTAACAGTTTGTAACAACTGGTGTGGCAACCACAGATGGTGATCACTTCATCATGTCTAGGACTGGTGACTCCCTAGGTCGTGCACCTGAAACTAATATAATTTTGTTTGTCAACTACTCTTCAATTTGTTAATTTATTTTTTGAGAGGGGGGCGGGTGGTGATGAGCAGGGGAGGGGCGGAGAGAGAGAGGGAGAGAGAGAATCTCCAGCAGGCTCTGTGCTGTCAGTGCAGAGGCCGACAGGGGGTTCCATCTCACGAACTGTGAGATCATGACCTGAGCCGAAGTCGAGAGTCGGACGCCCAACCCACTGAGCCATCCAGGCACTCCCACTTCAGTTTTAAAAGTGGTGGTGGGGGGTGCTTAAACCTCAGTGTCCCTATCACTCAGGGTCAGCCGTGAGGGACGGTGGCTGTTGAGGACCAGAAGGTCAGTCCCACTCATAGGAGGTTGTGGGGAGAGAACCACAGCCCAGATTAGGGGCAGCTCTGGGTGCAGAGACAGCTTGTTGGGCCCTGAAACTACCCATCTGAGCTTAAATCCTTGCTCTGGACCCCAACCCGCTGAGGGCCGGGCTGCGATTGCAACCTCTGTGCATGTCCGGGTCCTTACCTCCGGTGGATGCGTGGTTACCCTTGCATCGTAGGGTTGTTGTGAAGGTTCCGTGAGACAAAAACGTGAGAGGCCCTTGGTGCTGCCAGAGCTTTCTGTGGCCGTGGAGCTGTTCTCTGGGCTGTCTGACCAGAGAGGGAGCCAGCCTGGAAGCCTTGAGCCCCCGACCCTGCCTCCCCCGTCGGCTTTTACTAGCACGTCCCAGAGAGGTGGGGTGATGTGTGCGAAGGTACTCAGCCACGAAGGCTGCCAGGATCCGGGCCGCATCCCTGGCTGCGACCGGAGGCCCAAGGCAAGACCCGGAGCCATTTCCTGAGTCTGAAAAACAGCAAACTGCAGAAAGGGATCGAAAGCCTAGTCCTTAGGACAGAAGCTGGGTAGACCAGGAGTCGATGAGGACGGAACCGGACGGAGGACGGAGGTCTGAGCTGGTCTGTAGGGGGAGGACTCGCCGGGAGGCATCTGGTCACCACACTCTCCCTCCCAGCCTTGTTCTTGCTCTCCTTCCTTCTAGCAGCAGCTGGAGAGAGGCCGAGGGGCCCGTGGAGAGAGCGTGTCAGGTCTGCAGCGACCCCTCGTGGCCACACGGACAGCAGGGAATTCGTCCTGGAAGGTGGCTCGCCACCCACCCAGCTTTCTTTGTTCAGCTCTTGGTCAGTGCGCAGCCCAGCCCTGCCTGGGGAGCTCGGGAAGAGACGGGCTTATACTCGGTACAATCTTTGTGCTTCTTTACCATTTTTTTTTTTTAACGTTTATTTTTTGA